AAAATTTTCTGGGCATCAACTCGTACTAACACCTGACCTGTTCAGGTCAAGTCAGGCTTATAAGCTAGCAATAGACCCGCCCACGCGCTCTCTCTTCATTTTAGTGGCAACTTTTAATATTGTTAATTAGTGACTGTTGTTAAATAAGCTAATCAGATGTGAGAATCAATATTACCAATGCTCCTCCCACTCGCACAAGCTCCACCTTAATAAATCGTTCCATTGCCCGGGAGAAAACTAAAAATCAAGAAATCAAAAATTTTAAAATTTAAAAAATTGAAAAATAAAAAAATTGAAACATCAACAGATTGAAAAATCCCAAGACTAAAATGTCGAAAAACTGAAGAACTGAAAAACATTGAAATATCGAGAAATCGCAAAATCGAATCAATGAAAAATTCAAAATCGAAAAATTTCGATTAAAAAGAACCAATATTCGAAATATTGATAAATTGAAAAATGGAAAAATCCAAAAGCGACAATTAAAAAAATCCAAAGATCAAGATACCGAAACATCAAAAAAGTGAAAAATTTAAATTCAAAAATACGAAAAATTGAAAAATAGAAAAAATCGAAGAACTGAAAAATCGAAAAATCGAGAAATCGAAATTGAAAAACAGAAACATCGAGGAATCGAAACATCAAAAAATTGACAAGTCGAGATCAAAAACTTTAGAAGTCGAGAAGTCGAAAGAGTGAAAAATTGAGAAATTCAAAATTGAAGAATTTAAACTTAAAAACTGATAAATTAAAGAAATCGAAAAATTATAAAACTTAAAAAAACGAAAATTCTAAAATCGAGAAGTCCAAGAATCGAAATATCAAAAAAAGTAAAAAAAAAATTAAAATTTAAAAATTAAAAAAAAAATTAATTAAAAAAATCGAAAAATTGTAACGCAGACAAACAGAAAAATCGAAAAATCGCAAAATTGAAAAACATTAAAAACATAAAATTGGGAAATTGAAACATCAAAATATCGTAAAATTGAAAAATGGTAAAACCGAAGGTGTAAAATTTAAAAAATAAGAAAAAACTAGAAATCGAGAAACCGAAAAATCTGTAATTAAAAAATTGAAAAAACGAGAAATTGAAGAAACGAAACACGAAAAAATTTGAAAAACGAAAAGTCGAAAAAACGAAAAACAGAGAAATCGAAACATCAAAATGTCGAGAAATCGAAAAATTCAAAATTGAAAAATTTAGATTAAAAAGAATCAATAATTCGAAAAATCGAAATATCGATAAATTGAAAAATTGAAAAAGTGAAAAATCGATAAGTTGAAAAACCGAAAAATCTAAAAGCGACAAGTAAAAAAAACAAAGATCGATAAACCTAAATATTCAGTGAAATATCTAGATTTAAAAATCTGAAAAATTGAAAAATAGAAAATCTCACTGAAATGCTGAATAACTGAAAAATCGAGAAATCGAAAAATCGAAAAATTTCTCCGTTTCGAGAACTCGAAATTAAAAATTTGAAACATCTAGAAGTCAAAAGATCATAAGATTAAGAAATCGAGAAGGCGAAAAATCAAAAAATTGAAAAATTCAAAATTGAAAAATTTAAACTTAAGAAAAACGAAAAATCGAAAAATTGAAATATTGGGAAATTAAAAAATCCCACTGAAATGTCGAAAAATCGACAAATCGAAACGAAAAACCGAAAAATGGAGAAATCGAAAAGTCGAAATTGAAAAATTGAAACATCGGGAAATCAAAACATCAAAAGATCGAGAAATCTAGAAGGCGAAAAATCGAAACATCGAAATCTCGATAAATCTAGAAATCCCAAAAATGAAAAATCCCAAAACTGAAATATTGGAAAAAGGGAAATTGGAAAGTCGAAAAATCAAAAACTGATTAATCCGGAAATTGAAAAATCGAAAAATCGTAAAACTGAAATATCGGAAAATTAAGAAGTCCAAAAATATGAAAAAAAAAAAACGCGAAACTAAAAATTGGGAAAATCGAGAAACCGAAAAGTCGGAAAATCAAAAAATCGAAAATTTAGAAACCTAAAAAAAAAAATGAAAAATCGAAAAATTATAAAGCGACAAGTAAAAAAAAACAAAGATCGATAAACCTAAATATTCAGTGAAATATCTAGATTTAAAAATCTGAAAAATTGAAAAATAGAAAACATTAAAAAAACTTTAATTGCGAAATCGATACATATGTATCATCAAATCGAAAAATGGAAAAACCGAAAGTGTAAAATTTAAAAAATCGAAAAATTAAAAAAAAAAAATAAAAATCGAGAAACTGAAAACAATCTGAAATTTAAAAAATCGAAAAACTGAAGAATCGAAAAAGTAAAATTATGGGAAATCTCACTGGAATGTTGAAAAACTGAAAAATCTAACCATTGAAAAATTCAAAATTGAAAAATTTCGATTAAGAACCAATAATTCGAAATATCGATAAATTGAAAATCGAAAAATTCAAAAACCGCAAAATCCAAAAGCGACAATTAAAAAAATCCAAAGACCGAGAATTCAAAACATTAAAAAGTGAAACATCTAAATTAAAAAATTCGAAAAATTGAAACAGAAAAAATTGGAGAACTGAAAAATCGAAAAATTGAGAAATTGAAATTGAAAAACTGAAACATCGAAAAGTCGAAACATCAAAAAATTGACAAGCCGAGAAAAATTAAAACTTAAAAAACTGATAAAAAAATTGAAAAATGAAAAATTGAAATTTCGATAATTCGAGAAATTGAAAAATTATAAAAATTAAAAACCGAAAGTTCTAAAAGCGAGAAGCCGAAGAATCGAAACATCAAAAACAGTGAAAAATCTAAAATTAAAAATTAAAAAAAATTTAAAATGAAAAAAATCGAAACACCGTGACGTTGAGAAATAAAAAATTCAAAAAATCGAAACATCAAAATATCGTAAAATGGAAAAATCGTAAGTCTAAAATTTAAAAAATCTGGGAATTAAAAAATCAAAACTAATAGAAATCGAGAAACCGAAAAATCTAAGATTAAAAAAAATAAAAAAATTGAAAAAACTAAAAACGGAAAAATTGGAAAAACGGAAAGTCTAAAAATCGAAAAACACAAATCGAAACATCAAAATGTCGAGAAATCGAAAAATTCAAAATTGAAAAATTTAGATTAAGCGAAAAACCGAAAAATCAAAAAGCGACAAGTAAAAAAAAAACAAAGATCGAGAAACCTGAAACCTTTAAAAAAGTGAAAAATCTAAATTCAAAAATTCGAAAAATTGAAAAACAGGAAAACATTAAAAAAATTTAATTCGGGAAATCGAAACATCAATATATCGTCAAATCGAAAAATGGGAAAACCGTAAGTGTAAAGTTTTAAAAACCGAGAAACTAAAAAATAAAACAAAATAGAAATCGACAAACTGAAAACAACCTGAAATTAAAAAATCAAAAAACTGAAATATTGAGAAATTAAAAAATCTCACTGGAATGTCGAAATTAAAAAATTGAAACATCGAAAAATTCAAAATTAAAGAATCGAAAAATTGAAATATTGGGAAATTAAAAAATCTCACTGAAATGTCGAAAAATCGACAAATCGAAACGAAAAATCGAAAAACGGAGAAATCGAGAAGTCGAAATTGAAAAATTGGAACATCGGGAAATCAAAACATCAAAAGATCGAGAAATCTAGAAGGCGAAAAATCGAAACATCGAAATCTCGATAAATCTAGAAATCCCAAAAATGAAAAATCTCAAAACTGAAACATTGGAAAAAGGCAAATCGGAAAATCTCACTGGAAAGTCGAAAAATCAAAAAACGATTAATCCGAAAACTGAAAAATCGAAAAATCGTAAAACTGAAATATCGGAAAATTGAGAAGTCCAAAAATATGAAAAAAAAAAACGGGAAACTAAAAATTGGGAAAATCGAGAAACCGAAAAGTCGGAAAATCAAAAAATCGATTAATCGGGAAACTGAGTAATCAAAAAATCGAAAATTTAGAAACCTCAAAAATAAAAAAAAATTAAAAATCGAAAAATTAAAAAATTGAGAAGTCCAGATAACAACTGCATACTCAAAATGTGTGACCTTTGATGCACTCCTGATGAGACCACATATATAAATTTGGCTTTAACTCCATTCACCACGACAAATTGAACCCGATTACACAAGAATTACTGCAACTAAAATGACAGAGGATCTCTTAGACCTATTAGGGAGAAAATATTGGTCCAGGAACTTAAAACTTCCTTACATTTTCTACCGCTGAAAGTCACCAAAATCGGCAAATTATATAACGAAGTTTCAATAGCAAAACCATCACTGATTTATCCAAAGCTTTCCATAGGGTAGATCATTGCATATTGTTGAAAAAACTTGATAAAATGGGAAAATGTCATCAGCTACTAATGATTTTTAGAAATCTTTTGTTTGGCAAGGAACAATTTGTTGAAATTCATGGTGTCAAGTCAACACTTTTTGCTGTTAATAGCGGTGTTACTCAAGGGTCAAACCTGGGCCCGCTGTTGTTTACTATTTTTCTCAATGATGTAAACGTTATTATTAAAAGGTAATAAAGACGAGAAGGACTGTTTGATATTGCAAGATAATGTAGATAAGCTGACGTTTTGGTGTGAGTAAAATAAATTAAGTCTTGATACGAAAAAATATAAAAAAGTACGTTCTCTGGAAAAGACACTAAATTTAATTTTTATTATAATATTTTTCTACCAACATGATTCCGGCTAATGGCGGAACGTTCCGATTGGACGCGTGCTTTGAGAAAAACTCCCACACCGCCCCCATTCCACACGGACTGGATGTTGCAGCAATATCTACGTTTGCGAGGAGTTTATTATTCGTTTCGAGTAGCATTCGACTCACTTTTCCTAAATTGACAATAACGGCGTCAGTGGAAGCAAATTCTCTTTTATAAGAATGGCTCGAGAAGTGGCGTGTCTTACGCAGTTGACACATTGAAAAGTGGAATGGGTCTCCTGGTGGCGGAGCCTAAATTTCCCAATGATGAAAAAGTACACTTACCCGATTCGGAAATAGGTGATGGCGCCGACGAAAGTGACGCCGTGGAGTGGTTGCTGGAAACCGTCGATGATGAGCACTCCGACAGGGAGCGCCTTTTTGACAACGCATAACTCTGGGATAGCTGTTCCAGTCGCCGCCTAAGAAATCTCTGCTCCCGATTCAGCTGTTCTTTGTGCGTCGAGTGTTTACGTTCTTTGTCTTCAAGATTCTGGAAACGAAAAGGAAACAATGTTATTATATTCTTTTGATATATTTTTTTTAATATGGAAGTCTCACAATTACAAGGTGGCTGTGGCCACGCCCACTGCCCCTTCTCCTTAATGTAGAGTGGGGAGTGGGACCAGGTTCTGCGTGAAACACTCTATCCTCGTGAAAAATGAATGAAAAGGTTATCGCTCTCTGTCCGATTCCTCTCGCGCGCGTGTTTACATTAATAATAATAATAATAATTTTATTGTCTGTAAGGGCTGCGTACAATTGCAATCATTAGACTTGTCAAATTAAATAATAATATAAAAATACAAAAAACAGAGATGCACATATAAACGTACTAATATACAAATAAACACTTACGTAGTAAGGAATTCATTCTTTGAGTAGACAGCTTTTTCCGTTAACAAAACTTTCACGGATTTAATAAATTTTTTGTCATTATTGATTGCTTTCATATTTTCTGGCAGATGATTGTACAGTCTCACCGCTACCTCTCGAGGACCTGGTTGTACTAATGTAAGATTACATTTTTATTATATAATTTATGGCTCATTCTTGTTTGGTACTTATTTATATCACCATTAGTCTCTTGAACATATGTAGATTTCGTTTTACATATCCAATGCATTCCAAAACATATATGCTGGGTATTGTTAATATTTTATGTTTTATAAAAAGTTGACGGCATGAACCTCTTTGTGGTAGATTAAATATCAATCTAAGAATTTTTTTTTGCATAATAAAAATTCCATTTACAAATACAGAGTTGCCCCAGCACATAATTCCGTACGAAAGGTAAGGGTTTATACATCCATGATAATATTTCATAAGTGTTGACACATTTAGGTTTTCATTTAACTGCCTTATACAGAAGCACAGACTAGTCAGCTTTTTAACTACTATATCGATATGAGGTTCCCAAGTTAAATGTTCATCCACAGTCACACCTAAAAAATTTACAACATTATTATGTTTTACTGAAGCTGTAGTGGATTTAATTAATACGCTAAAGTTTTTTTGCCTAGGATAAGCCGAAAACTGCAAATATGATGTTTTGTCTTTGTTCAGAGATAAAAAGTTTTTAGAGCAATACGATTCCATACTTAAAACACATTTACTTCCATGAACACTTAAGGATGCTATATCATTAGATGTAACAGTTGCGGATGAATCATCTGCAAATAGTCGTAATGAATAGTTCTTTTGGGAATGTATACAATCATTAATAAAGATTATAAAAAGGAGCGGGCCCAATATGCTGCCCTGAGGTACGCCGGTGCTAATGGCTTTTTTATGATAAATAGGGTCTCTGATTGTAAGTAACTTTTACCACCTGTTGTCGTCCTGTTAAATAATTTTTTACCCATTGTAAAGCTACACCTCTGATTCCGTATGCTTCCAGTTTATCACATATGAGGTTATGATTCAAAGTATCAAATGCACGGCTTAGGTCAAAATATATCCCTACTACTTTCTTTTTATCATCTAAAGAATAAAATATCTCCATTAACTTTGACACAATAGCATCTTGTGTTCTTCCTCCTTTTTTAAAACCAAATTGTTTGTCACTTAGAATATTGTGTCTTTCTATGAAGGAATATAATGTACGATAAAAGGCCTTTTCAAAAATTTTTGAAAAAATTGACAACAATGCAACAGGTCTGTAATTATTCATTTTTGATGTATTACCTTTTTTATGTATAGGTACAATTATTGCTGTTTTGAGCTCATCTGGGAAAATTCCCTACTAAATGAAGTATTTATTAAATTTGTTAACACAGCTATTGTGGTTTCAGGAACATATTTTAATAAATAATACGGTATCCCATCTAGTCCTTTCGATTTTTTATTAGCCACAGATGAAATAATGTAATATACCTCTGGTATTACTACAGGATCTAAAAACATTGAGTATCTATTAAATGGAATATTTTGTAGTCTATTTGTGTTATCATTACGGGTATTTTTAAAAGTTTTTGTTATATTCTGTATTGAATTAATAAAAAAGGAATTGAAACTATTTGCTACATTTAAACAACCTGTTATATTTTCATTTTCAGAGTTTTGTAATGTGTCTGGTATAGTATATTACATATCGAGGGTGGTAAGAAGCTAATTACGAACGAAGTTTACACACGAGCGAGCGTAGCGAGCGAGTGATGTAATATGAGTTCGTAATTAGGTTACCACCAGAGTTGTGTCATGTACTTTTTCTACGATCTATAATGAAGAATCACTTTCAGAAGAAATTTTTTTGGGAAAGCAAATATTTATAGTTGCTATGGAAACTACTCAAACAGGCACGTAATATATATATATTACGTGCCTGTTCATTCATTACATGCCAGTGGGTGTAACTATGGTTTTACTATGAGGCTAGACAGTTTCCTAATTCATGGATTACTATGTGGGAGTAGAAAAAATTATTTATTTTGTTATTAGGACGATGCGAATTTATTATTTTCCAAGCATCCTTACCTATATTCATCGATGTTTTTAGAATATTGTCATAATAATCTTTTTTTGTTTTTTTGACTAGAAGTTTATGTTGATTTTGAAGGATCTTGTAGTGTTTTAGAACCTCAGGGTAAATTTTTGTGATTTTATGCATATCTTGTAATCTTGGGCTACTGGCAATAATTTCATTATTAAGCCAAGGTTTTGGGTGGATGGTTTTTTTATATTGATTTCTTTTTCTTGGTTTGGGAACGCCAAATCAAAATAGTAGTCAAATAGTTGAAAAAATTTTTGGAATTTTTTTGATCCCGAATTGTTATAAACGTCACTCCATGATTCCGATTGTAACAGTTTCTTAAATTTTTCTATATTTTTTTTTGAGAAATTTCTTTTATAAACTATGCATTTTTATTGTCGTTTAATTTAAGAAATCTCTGCTCTGAGTGTTTACGTTCTTTCTCTTCAAGATTCTGGAAACGAAAAGGAAATAATGTTATTATATTCTTTTGATTTTTTTTAATATGGAAGTTTCACAATTACAAGGTGGCTGTGGCCACGCCCACTAGAGTGGGGAGTGGAACCAGCCTCTGCGTGAAATACTCTATCCTTGTGAAAAATGAATGAAAAATTTAGAAACGACGAAATTATCGCTCTCTGTCCGGGTCGTTGCCGCCCGCAAATCTCCGTTCCCGATTCCTCTCTCGCGCGTGTTTACATTCTTTGTCTTCGGGATTCTCGAAACGAAAGAAATGTTAGATGACACAGTGGAACTTGGGTATAATGCCTGAAATATTCGCCGTAATTAAATTCGTCGAATTCTTCCCGTGGGCAGCGGTGCGAGCTTTGTTTAGCAAAAACTCGAAAGAAACGGCGCTCTCTGAAAATAACTTCGGAGGTAATGCTCATTAAAATATTTGAGCCGTTAAAAAAGCTCAAAGGCGGACTTCCTCCATCGCAGGAAGATGACAGGTTCTTTTATCAGCATTTCGCCGGTTTTAATCACTCATCTACGTATAATCCCTTTATTCTTGCAAACCTCCGCGCCTCAGCCGGCTTCTAATAAATCGCTAATTACATTTCCCGCATCTTTGCCGGATTCGGAAAATTGAAAGAAATATTCGGAAAATCATTTTCAAACATCAAAGACGGTGTATCTAATAACACCCGAGCCGTGAATAATCTTCGAGTAATTACCGAGTTTCATTCATCACGGCGGAAAGCGGGGTCGGACTGACATATTTAGCTTCATAACTTCCAGTGTGTATTAACGTTTCGCTTATACAGCGGAACGCTCGGAGGAAACTTTTTCGAATTATTATTTGTACGGCTCGATAAATTTGATTAGACTTAAAGTTGGGGAGTTCTCGTCGGAACGATCGCCGAAACTAAGGCAGAAGGACTTATCTGCAATAAAGTGCGTGAACTCCGAAATCGGAAGAGCAGAAATTTTTAAACGGCCGTTTTGCGACGCCGATTTCGACAAGACGAGGAATTTACGGCCGTTCGGGGAGTTCACAATAGGAGAATTTGAGTGAGAATCGTAGATGGCTAATCAAACAAGCCGGCGATAAATCATCCTCAGCATAAAAAAACACATACTTTTTTTTATCATATTAATATAAACGTTATTTCAGTCGCTGTTGAAGAGGAAATAATAATGACAGAAAATAATTCATTAGAACCAGCATCTGCGGTGAACACTACTACGTTTGTTCCTAATAAATATTCCCAAATTTTCAAAGATGTTTTTTCAGGCATTTTTGACGAAAATATTTTTGACTAAAATCTTCACAATCCGTTTCATACATTTCAGAATATGGAAACAGACAGAAATGTATCCTTTTTGAATACAAATCATCACTTTATTGTATTTATGATTATATCTCAAAACAAACTATTTTTTTTTGCTTCTGTCTTTTCCGTTTTCGCATTCAGAAAATTCCATCCCTTTTATTCTACAAACTGTCTTAGTATTTTCCCCTCTTTATTTTCTTTTTTTTTTGTTCTTCTTTTTGTTTCTCTTTCTTCATAATCTATTATTCTTTTGTCCCCTTCTCCAAACGTAGCAAATCTCGTGTTAAAATCTAAACATTCTCCATGTTTTATTTTATGTTAAGACTTTTCTTCATATTATTCCTTTGTTTGTTGTGATTTTCCCGTTTTGATTACGCGTTTTAGTTATTTCTTGGTAGTCATTTCTCATCCGTGTTATCATTCTCCTTTTTGATCTCTTCCTTTTTCTCTTTTTTTGCTCCGAAACATTTACATGCAGATTCTTTAGGGAATTGTTCCCTTGTTTTCTCCCACCCCTGTTGTGTCACCCATGTCTTTCCCAAACCCACTACGTAGAATTCTCTTACGTATTGCCTTTTATCTTAATTCCCACTATATCCCAAAATAAGACTTTTCTCCTTTCCTTCCTATCCTCATCTTTGCTTATTTTTTGTGTTCTCTTTTTTCCTTTCTTCTTCTTATTTCAGATTCAGGCTTCGTTCGTTGCCATTGTTATCATTATTTATTCTTCCTTCAATTAATAAA